GTCTTATGAAGCTGAATTCACCCAAATCAGATGGCCAAGTAGTCGGATGTTTGAACTTCTTAACATTTCGCAACTTATTTAATGATGTCAGGAAACGAAAACCTGAGCAGCATTCCGCGTGTTTGAGCTATGAATATGATCTCATTTAGAGTTTGTTTATTTCTAGATGGGGCGGCTTAAACGTCAAAGCTTCGATTTCTCCACCTTCTAGATGTTATTTTTATGATGCGACTATCTGCATTTCTATCCAGCTTGTTTCTCATTACACTTCTTTTCGTTTTGCTTTCATGAATGTTTCGTTTCGTTTCAAAGCGCAGGTAGTGACTTATATATATATGTATATATATGAACAGGTGTACATACAAATGTGTATACATGCCGTATATCCACGTATATGCATATATACATATACTGTATATATGGTCGGTAATCGTCCATGTGATAGTAATATTCATTGTTCATTGGTAGTCAGAACATGGGTACAACTTCCCTTCAATCGAAGGCGTGAGCCTTCTTGTACAATTTCGTCATACTTCCACGCTTACTAGTGTACTGATCGTTCGAGTGTTCGGGCTGAATGTTCGAATAATTGAATATTATTCCTTTATTCGATTCACTTATAGTATTGGTTGATGTTCCTCCTACTCACTGTGCTTAGATTTTTTTTTTCCAAATTGTCACTCTAACGATTTTCTCAATCTTTCATACTAAGCACAAGATCCTTATGAACATGGAAAATTGTTCGACTGCTGGGAACATTCTCTTCTCAAAGCATTGAATAGTTGAAGACTGCTACTTTTTTGACTTCAGTGGCCGCGTTCATCTAGGCGAGAGCAGAATTTCCATTAGGCTTTCAATTTGCTGCACGGCTGAACTTCTTTTCCTTTTTCAAACTGAACTTCAGAGATAGCAGCGTTAAGGCATTCCTTTGTCGTCACCACACACATGGTGGGAGGTTAGAGAGATTTGGCACCATGGAATTAACCGTTACGACGAAAATGGTGGTTTCTGGTAATCCCGCACCCTGAACAAAGTTGTCCAAACGAAGATTTTAAACTTCTCACCTCCATGGAAGACTCTGCTGAGAAATAAACTTTTGCCATACATTACTGACTAACATATTCCAGCCGAAATTATCACTGAGTAGCTGATGAGACCTCTGAGCCTTTACAGTAAGCGGACAGGTGGCTAAATTGAAACTTAATTGACTTTTACGAATAAATTCGCCGTGAACAATTAGTATAGTCGGATATTATTTATTTGACCGCCGCTTGAGGTGGTATATTCTTATAATATACCCAATAATGTAGAATGCTGTGCAAAAACACTTGTGTCAGCCAGGATTCGAACCCAGATCTCACTGTTTCCGGGAGCGTATGCTGAACCGTTGCACCATGGACGCTCGTTTTCCGGCTGACGCAAATTTTTTTACACAGCACTCTACGTTACTGAACAGTCAATATACTTTTTGGTAAGACTTCGCGTAAGTTTATTACTTGACTTTCATTCAATTGTCGATGCGATGTCCTCCTCTATTACAGAAGAGTTAGCTCTAGTGCAGTAGTTCACAGTCATTCGTTCAGTTAATTATTCTTGCTTCAATTATAATCATTGTACCTTTATTTCGAGTGTTTTCTTAAGACCACGCTCAAATTTCTATAGATCCCTTCATTACTATTTGAGCCAACATGTCATGTGGTCTGGTAAGGGCTCCTGTACAGCCCGATACACGTGTTTCGTCCTTACAGACTCGTCAGTGAAGCAACAACCGTGTTGTCATTCGTCAAAGGTCATCGTCGAATAGGATCTTTTTCTTCCGCAGTGCTCTACTCAAGAATATTAGTCTCGAGAGACTACGAAAACCCAAACCTCGAAGACAACGACTGCGTGATGTCATCTCGGATAAATCGACTTTGAAGGAGACGAGAACGCTGAAATTCGGCTAAATAAGCATTAATATCAATCTCACGTAGCCTGCAAAATCCTAATTAAAATGTACTTTCACTGACATACTGCTGAACACAGTGAATACGCTTCCTGTTTTTGCTCTGGTGGACTGACATGCGCCTTTCGTGCACACGTTGTATTCATGCATAAATTCGTAGCCTTCGTTTAGTGCATGCTAGTTAATTTGTACTATTTTTCAGCGATCAAATAACTAGGCAGCGCATATTGGGCAATTATGGATAAAGTATTTAGCCGAACGTACCCTCATGCCGTCGTGAAGGATTCTTAGAATTCAGTATAATGGATGGTATTTACTATGAAAATCTCATCAAATGCAAGGTATTACTCAATTTCACCTTATCGATTCGAAAGGGCATAAGACACAGTTGAGAAGAAGGGCTCGTAGACGCCATGCAATCTGTGAACATCTAGGACTACGTACTAATGTATAAGCAACTACTTCATGAGCTCTGACATAGTTTCACAACTAGTTGATTTTCGCCATTCTATAACGACAGTAAAATTATTATTGACATGAAGTAATGAACTTGATAAGACGTTACTAAATTCTTGAAAATCAAAAGGTTGTAGAAAAAGTTCTGTCGCATTTCAAAACGCATGAAAGAAAATTATTTGTGCACTAATAAAGCTCAAACAAAAACAAAAGACCATTTGGACTTCAAGCATTGTTTTTCAGTCTCCTGGCGAATGTGCCAAATCGTCATTGGATCACGATTAAACTCAATGGCCAACATCCGGTAACTCATCGATGGTTTTTCTTCAATTCGATCGACGATTGCTTGACATTTCACTTCTCGTGGACGCCACTCTTTCGGTTCTTCGGTGAGTCAGTCTGCTCTTCACGGATCGTGTTGAGCCAAAGCTGAGGGTACGAACACGGAAAATTTCGTAACCATACTCCTTGCAGATTTGTCAATGAGCTTTAGGAGCGCTGACACTCAATTTATTATGTAAGTGGAGCAGCATACTGATTTCTTTCTTGGACAGTTCCATTCTGGTGACTGTGTAGGCAAAATGATTCATCGTTCGGCGCCCAAGAAAACAAACTGTTTGAAGAGCTCAAGTTCACACAAAATGCATCTATCGAATTACTATTCAATAATATCGAGAAAATCATTTTATTACGTTTCTTGACAAAAATCTTAACTTATTACAATGACTTGGTTCATTAACTAACACTATCATCAATAAAGAGTGTGAGTTTTCAATCTATTGGATTTTATTTGGTAATTAGGTGATAAATAACACTTATAAAACATATAAATAGTGTACCAATAAGTTTTAAGCTGTTGAGCCGCGCTTTGAATAAATCAAGGCGAATGATCGTGCTGAATATAACTACAGCAGTGACTGGCATGAAATTTGGCTTATCAAATTACACCCGAGTCGTTGGTCGACTAATCACAGAAAACGACACTTGCAACGAAATCGTTGGTCTTTGAGAAATTCTAATCTGCAACGAGCAAGCTGATCTCCGACCTGCAACAATCAAGGAGTGTCGCTGATAATAATCTGAGAACGCTATGTCACTCGATCTCATCTTGGTGTTGTTGGGACCTCGGGAAGCATTCGAAGAAAATCGCACTCCCAACCCTCGCAGGAGTCGAACTCTCATAGACACGCGATCGCTCCCGTTTGATGATCGAAAGGTCGCAAAGATTTTTTTGCTCATGCCACATTACGTGTAGTATTTAGACAGTTGGCATAGCAATATACTAACGGTTTTCAAGCATTCGTGTATCCATTAAAAGATTCTAATCTTATAATATTGAAGCTGTGTTCATGGAATCAGTGCCTATGCACTTCTCACGCGTAACGAAATCGTCCATCTATATATTTTTATAACCTTTTCCAAGTCAACTATTCAATTGACCGTGATCATCTCTCTTTGTGGCATCATGTTGGAAAGGAAAATTTTGCAGATTCTTTTCCAAAGCTCGTCATAATTCACTCTGATGAAGGACACATTACAACATCCGGATCGGCGACAATTAAACCGAATCTGAAGAAAAAACGTTAACTAGGTTTTTATAAGCTGATTACTCGCCATCTCATGCATTATCTACTGGTATGCACGCTAGAGACTTACTGGATCTAAGACCGATAATAAGTTTCTACTGTAAACGACGTGTTCTGACCTTGCCACCAATTGCCTCTCATTAACAAATTGTCTATTGTGTCAACGTCATCATGCGAGATCAACTTATATGTAGTTTGAAGGACACCAAAACAGCCTACCCTTTCAACATGACAGCATTACTCTATTGAATTGAAGTCTTCTCACAAAATATTTTCCAGTTTACTGATCAACGCTTGAGATAGTCTATCATGTGGTTTCTCTCTTAAGATATTTTATAGATTCGCTGTTTGAGTCCAGAAAGAAATCTATCGCAGAGAAATATAGGAGAGGTAATGGTTGAGCCTACAATAATGTTAAAAAAGTCGTGAAAAGCAAACAATATCCAGTTTCCTGCCTACTTTTTTTGTTTCACCGCTCTTCACGCGTTGGTGGAAAACATCTTGAGGAAATCTTAGCACTTGCGAATCTGATCACAATGCAAACTGTTGGCGATAATCAAACCGTCATTGAGAAGGCGACAAATCTTCCCAGTGAAGCGAAGAAGTTGAAAGCATTTACTAGAGAATTATGATATTTTTACTGCTTTTTCGCAGTGTTATGATGTTTCAAATATTGAAGAGAATTTAATGGTGAGCAAACATAGACCTCAGACAGGAGTTGAATCCACGTTTTATCCATGCCGGGACGCGTGCTACCACTACACCACCGAAGCACATTTACACCACCACTCATTCTATTTTTGCTCACCACTCAATTCTTTTAGGTATACATTAATCATCATAACACTGCGAAAAAAGCAGTACAAATACTAGAATTCTTGAGTATTATATTAACACTGGCTGTCAGCTGAACTGGGTTGATGAAGAGAAATCGCATACCCGACCAAAGCTCTTAAGGGTTGGTGGCAGACAGCTAACACAGAGATGTTGAAGAATGAGTGGTGGTGCAAATGTACTTCGGGGTGCAGTGGTAGCACGCGTTTCCGCTATGGATGAAACCTGGGTTCGACTCCCGTCTGAGGTCGTAACTTTGCTCATCACTAAATCCTCTTAGATATATGAAGCAATGATTAGGATAGAAATTCTAAACGAAAACCACCGCATAGGTCAAAACGTTGACGAGAAGGTTTTCTACAACTGTAGTAAATAGTCTATTAGAGACTGTATGAAATAAACTGTACTGGATTGCAGATATTCGTTTGATATGTCATGCAGAACTTAGATAACACGCAAGCACGTTCAATTACAACTCATCCTGTCGGGCTAGGGATGAACCGTCTGGTGTTGATCAACTGCTTGTATATCTACTATGCATTCGATTCCATTCGTATTGCAGAGATAAATGGATATGTATGGCCTATAGATAACTGACTATGGACTAGCAATGTATTAAATTAGTGATTTATCCTTTCAAACAAGTCTATCAATCAATTTCGCTCTTTCATAGCGCTGGAAGTCACGGTGAACCAAGTAATTATTACCCAACCAACGAGCACGTGTGTATTTCAGGACACCCCAAGCCACTAAACCTCATACGCGCCCCAACTAAGCAACGAACCGGAAAGATTTCCAACATTCCGAACATCATAGCGATGATTTTGTCATGCATGGTTGAACAAATACTTTATCTGTAAAAGAAGAATAAAGAAAGGTCCTCTCATGCAGACACAAAGATTATCATTGCTGCTACGCAATTTACATTTTTATGGTACTATCAAAAAAAAAAGAAGAAGTCAAAAATTACTATTTTCACGCCCGATACCAACTTTTTATGGTTATTTTCGACGTGCACAAGGCTTCTTCTCTTTCTTGCTACAGTAGATATCATTGTTTTTGTAGTGTTCGCCTCTATGGAGTACGAATTGTCCCGATAGATCACAACTCTTATAACGTCATAATAGGCTCAAACATGCTATCATGTTATCAGATTATCATTATCGCTAAGTTTTCTCAAGCGTTCACATCACGTTACAGAATGATTTCCGAGTGGTTCATTAAGCGTTTCCCGAGGGCATTGAAAAAGTGATGCTCCTCTTTTCCAATCAGCTTTCAGTTGCGCCTATTAGCATCCTTTCACGGGACTTTCTATTAATAAAATAGGTTTTATCATATGCTCTCACGATGCAGAACGATTATATGTGCAGTTTGCAATGATATCGTCGAGAAGTAATAATGTTAGCGATACTTTTCGCGAAAACCTATGTGAGACTTATGAAAACCTATGTGGAACGAGAGAAATCACATAAACAAGAAAAGTAAGCGCACGATTTATTCAAAGCTGGTTATAATTAGAAACTGATAGCAATTTTGGCGTCACATATTTTCCATTACAATTCCACTTGTTTTATAAAAATCTTTATTTCACACTTTTGTGACGGTGTGCAATCATACAATCGGGACAGTGTGTAGTGGTACAACACAATCACATGAAAATCGTGGACTGGGCATTATGGGTTGTATAGGAGTTTTTTTTTCTGATGGTTTCTTTCGAAGCACAGCACTTTTTTCCCAAGTCATGTAATTAAATGATTGTTTTTCAAAACGAATGTTCAGACGAATGTCAGTCACTGGAATAACTCTGTTCTACACTTATAAATATGCAAAGAACTTTATATCGAACGAGTTCGTTCACTGATAAACTCGCCAACATTTCACCCTCATGACGCTTTAATCGCAATAATGAATCATGGTTGATGTATCGAATGTGCAGGTATGAAATAATCATGTTGCGAAATTCTGTGAAATGTTGCCAACAGAGTGTACGCATGGTAGACCAAAGTAATAAAGGAAAAAGGGATGAAGCGCTTGGCGTCGATCTATTCTTGAGGCATGCTCCAGGCATTCAACTTTATCAAGCATCATTAGAGGTGAATCAATGCATATTTGGCCTTTACAATGACTCGCAGTGGTCTACCGCTGTATCGAGTCAGTGCTGCTTATCCTTTCAGATAAGTTTAAGACAGTCTGGTACCGATCTACCAGACCACGGAGAAATGCATGGCTTAGTTAGCCAAGAGCGCGAAATCGAAACGTTGATTTTGTGAGCGACGCAGTGCACTTTTAAGTACTGCGCCACATTCGCTCTCCTCTCAAATAAATTTGGTACCAACTTCAATTCTGGAGGGATGAAAGGCTTGCTGAGTCTGAGTCATGGATGCCGTTTCAAACCATGTTATGAGTGTTCGTTGAAGGGTACCCTAACCCACTGCGGCATACACTCGGTGGCAATAGAGATATATAGTGAATAATCGTCGCTGGGAGATGATCCTTGGTGTCAGTAAGAGAAAACAATATCGGACTTTGCCACCGTCTTTGCCAGATGGCAATGTTATAGTCCACAAAGTTAGGCGACCGTTTGTGACGGCGACGACCTGAAGAAAAGCTTTGGTTAGGGTGAGTTCGAGACTTGATTTGACTATATCTCTTGTTACGGCTAGTAGTACTCCAGCCTTAGCATACTGAACACTGAGCGCCCTCATCTACGACGTGAGGAGGTGAGACAGTGTGTGAAAAGCGATCATGATAGATGGCATACCTAGCACTCATATCTAAAGAATGATAGGGCAAAGTCTAAACTACAATCTTGTCATGTTCTCAGCATCTCGATTCAAAAGCCATGGGAAACTGGTGCCTATTTTAGAAAAGCCATTGCGCTCCTATAGGTTTGAATTTAGGCACTCTCTAAACAAATGAATCTTTTAACGCAGTGAATCACTAATTTGTTGAAAGTCGTGCTGATTTCCATTTTTTTACTTCTATAGGCTTTACTTTTTTCTTCAAATTGAATAAATTGAGGAGACGGAACATTTTTCGGTCCAAAAGTGTATTATTTCTATAGATTTAGGTGATACAGCAGTTCAACTATTTTTTCAAAAAAAAAAAAGAAATCAACTTTCGGTTTTCACTAGAGTAGTTAACAGGCACAAATAGTTTACTTAGATACTTGAACGATCCGTGTTTATATGTTATGCACGTCTGTGCGCTTTATCCAGTCATTCCACTTCCTCATTCTAGGCTTCTTTATTTCGTCTATTTTACATTTGCTTTTTTTTTTACCTCGCTACCTCCGTTATCTGCTGAGGTTATACGACTTATTGGGAGCTTCGACAACAACTTGAACTTTTGTCATATTTCCTACTAATATGTTGCACGCTGGTTGAGATAAATCATCATTGGAACAAATGATGGCTGAGTTTTAGCACCCTTAGACGTCTCCAAACAAGTTAAGGGCGTTTGTGGATCAGGAAGAAGCTTATTGTTTATTTCAGAATTTTTACACGACAACAACGATTTCTTTGACGGTAGCGAACCCAAAGATTAGTCAAAGGGGTGGCCAAATATAACGAAGAGTATTTTCATTTATCATACTTAGCCTACACTTCTAAATTTTTGCAAAAAAAATTGAATTCAGTTTATGTTCAATTGCATCCACAGTTTTCGAACACTAAGAGAACCTTTACTTACCTTAAATTTCAGGAATTTTACACAGATAGTAATTCTTACGTCACTTGATTATCGTTTTCACATCGAAATCTTTGAGCAGTAACCGAAGAGACATGTGCAATCTTTGATACCTCTGTGAAGGATGCATACAAAAAGGCGAATTAGTGCTAGAAGTGATGGGATGAGCACAGGAAAATATGATGAGGGGTCGTATAAGAATAAAAAATATTACGTCTCTGCTCCTCCTGGAGAACACGGATATGAGTATGATCGGTTTGACTTGTTAAAAATGAAGCTAGTATGTTACCTAAATGAAGGATTAGGTAGATCAACTACTTCAATTCCAGTGAAATCCTTCCCTGTTTAATGCAACAGGTGGATAATCCGTATAGGAAAAGTTCAACTTTCAACTTTTCACTTTCTCACGTTCCTCTCGCATTTTTTGTAATCGGTATGATTTATCAAGAGTCGAACTTATTCATTATGTTCTCTCATTCCACTTTTTTCTTTTTTTTTTCTTGATGGCGACACTCAGCACCGAGCATATTTATTTGTTGCCTGTCAGTTAACTTTTCATTCATCAATGAGCCTACTTTGAATTGAATTGAAGTCGAGCTTTTCATGATAGCGACGAACCGACAAGACGTATGAGAGCTGCTCTGTCTGATGCTTTCTCTTTCTCACTGATTTTTATTATTTTGCAGCTTATCTATACCAACTGTTTCCCAAAATTAATGGGAATTTCAAAATTCAACTTAATATTGGGCAGCGTTTTCAATCCTCTTGACAGATATTGAGACTGGCATTCTTTTAATTTCGGCATTGCAGATCATTTACATATTCTCTGGCGATCAAGCGAAAGTACAAATTTGAAAAACGCTTATTCTTTCGTCCAGTGTTTCAGCGCGTTTCGTTTTTTTCAGAGCCAATTTTTCTCCCTTTTTAAAAGGTTGTTTTCACATCTTCTTTCTCGGGAAAACCAGTCCTGGATACTACTATAATGAATGATGGTCTCATTTGGCATGGGAGAACGTCACTTCTACTCACCGCGTCATTCTTTTCAAGCTTCAATTGGCTCTCATTATTATCACTGGGCATAAATATTCCTCTACACGATTCTAATCAGCTAATGGGGCGGGCGCAAAATATGACCGACCTAGGTTTTTCGAATTGTAATGAGCTTCATATACGTCTCTGACACCTGAAAACGTAAGCCGCTCTCATCCTACACTTGTCAATCCGTCATGGTGATGGCGGTAAGCAATTTACTCACCCACAGCCCGACTGAGCTTGACGGGGCCGGCCATACCCGGCCGCCCAGCTCTTCGGCCACGCCCCAATCCGTTTGCCAGGCTGCGCCCTCGCGTGGATTCGCGCCGACGAGCCCGATCGTCCCACGGCCGGCGACCACCGGCTCGATCGCACGGATCTCCTCCGGGTCTATACAGACGTCGTTTCATTGAGTTATTGATAGCTGTGTTTTCTCTTAACTTAATCTCCAGGAAAATAGTCTCTGAAGATTTCTGCGCGACTGAGTTTCAACCGAGACAAATTCCCGTGCATAGCGTTTCTTTCAGCTGTT